CTGAGCAATCAACCGGTTAATGAAGAAATCAAAGGAGAAATCAAAAAAGTACCTTAAGACAAGTGAAGATGGAAATATATATATCACTATACTGAACACCTGAAACTAATAAGACACTGTATGTTAACTAACTGGAATTAAAATAAAAACCTTTAAAAAAAGTTTACAACACAGAAATACGGCGCAATACAGTCAATATATTTAATATTATTGTTAGAGCCATTCTTTCCTATGCCAAACTTTAAATGATGAACTAAGTAGGAGACTTTCTTTTGAACATCCCAATAAAAACTACACAAGAAAAATGTTTAATGCCATACATAATGTTGATCATCATGGGATGTTAACAATTGAAAAATGATTCTCAACTGCACGTGTTATGAAAATCCTGTGGAATCCTGGGGTGCTGGGGTGGCTCAGTCAGGTAAGCGACTGACTCTTGATTATAGCTCAGGTCATGATTTCGGGGTGGTGAGATCGAGGCCTGTGTCCTCCTGCTTGAGATTCTCTCGCTTCCTCCCCTGCTTTCTTGCTCTCTCTCTCTCTAAAAAAAGAAGAAAAGAAAAAAAGAAAATCCTATGGAGTTCTGAGTCACAAGTTTTCATTTGCTAAGCTGCCAAAAATTCCACTATTAGCACGCAAAGGGTTGCTAGAATCGATCATGTTGCATAAGATAATGCTAAAACTACCCAAGCTAAAAAAAAACTCTGAAAATGCCCAGCACTTATTATCACAGACTTAGGTTGTAAAGCAAGCACAAAAGACTAATCAGAATTTGGTTTTTAAGTAAGGAGGCATTGTTTTGAACTACTCTTACAGATCCCTTTGAACCAAAATGACTAGAAAGAAAAAAAGAAAGAAAATGTAAATACAACTTACCAAAATCTGTGGGATACAGCAAAAGCAGTTTTAGGTGGGAAGTTCATAATGATAAAGGCCTACCTAAGGAAATAAGAAAAATCTTAAATAACCAACAAATTTACACCTAAAGAGAAAGGAACAAACAAAGCCCAAAGTCAGTAGGTATTTTTTTAAGGAAAGAAAAAGAAGAAAACAAAATAATTGTACAATGTTTTTGTGGCTTACAAAAGGCAACACAAAAGTGAGGACTATTAGGACAAATAACCTGGACAAAGCAAGGTCCATTCTTCCATTCTCTGTTAGATGCTATGACACAAGCCATAATACATGGCAAAATGTGTTCCCTGTAGTAAATCCTTCAAATGAGTTAACAGGTATGAACACAGATATGACAGATCTCTTAAGGAGCAAAAGAAGTCAGCTTGTGTTATCTGTGTGTTACAACCAGAACAGAGAGCCAGTTTTCAGCATCATTACTTCACTTGATCTTCACGCAAGCCCTCGGATATATGCTATGGACTGAATGTATGTGTCCACCACCACTGCCCTTAAGTTCAAAGCCCTAGCCCCAATGTGGCTGTATTTGGAGATGGAGCCTCCAAAGAAGTAATTAAGGTCAGGTGAAATCCTAAGGGTAGGGCCCTGATCCTTGTAAGAGACATCAGGAAGGCACTCCTTCTTTTTCTGAATGCAAGCATTGAGGAAAGGTCACATGAAGAGAGAGCAAGAAATTAGCCATCTGCAATCTACGAAGAGCGCTCTCACCAGAAACCAAATTTGCCGGCAACTGGATGTTGGCCTTCCCAACCTCCAGAACTGTGAGAAAACAAATTTCTGTTATTTAAGCCCCCGAGTCTGGACAGTTGGTTACAGCAGCCCCAAAAGACTAATATCACATGGGTATCATCACTATCATCTATGTTATCAATTAGAAAATTTTGACCAAGAAAGATTAATAATTTGTACAGGGTCACACAATAAGCCATAACCAGCTCTCAAATTCAGCTCTGTCTGATGCCACAATCCATGTTCTATCTGCTTTATCCCCTTCTCTCTAGGAGGGGAAAATGGTGACGATTTCAAGTGTGATTTGAGACACTGTATTCAGCCCTTCTAGGCCCCAAGACAAGTCCTTTATCAGGTGTCTCAGTTCCTGAAAATCCACCATTAAACAATCTTTGTTCCAAAGTGTTCTCCCACTTTTTGGAACCTCCTATAAAATTCTGAAACCCCTAGAATGCATAATATTTTAAGCAAGGAATCTGACATGTAGCCCTTTCCCAAAGGTATAGCCTACCTGAAATGTTCAGAACATTGCCTTTGTCTAAGTATCAAGACTATGGGCCAACCAGTTGCTCCCCAATGCCATGATGTTACAAACATCAAACAAGGAGGCTTGAATCAATAAGAGATCATAATTAAAACTAAACATAATTATTACGTGATTTAGAGCTACTAAATTCTATTATAATTTCATCTTGAAACTGGGATATAATGAAAGTTTATTGAGAAAAATATGAGAGAACAAGCCTTCCGTTATACCCTTGACATTTTTTTTTAAGTCTCATCAACACTTGCAAGCCAGACACAGACTTCTCTAATCCTCTTGTTATCAATTAAATATCCATGTGGACACACACTCTCACAGAACATTTCAGACTGTGTGGCTTAATCCTACAAAAACATGTAGATAACCCAGCCATTAACTTTTTTGGTTATCATTTCAAACCACCATTCATTTAAGCCTGCTCTTGTTCTCCTATTCCCTACCTCGGTTACCATCCACCCAATGGCCCCAAACCAGAAACTTAGGCACCATCCCTGCCTTTTCCCTCTCCCAGCAATTAATCTCAGTAAATCTGTGGATTCACCCTCATAACCAGCTCTCAAAACTATCAGCTTCACACCCATCCCAAGATCTCCCCATCCCACCTCAGGTGAGTATCATCACTCCCTGCCATGACTGCATCACCCTCCTAACCTGCCTCCCCACCAATTCACTCTACGTGGGGTGGGAAACCTCAAGCATGTTTAAGGAATACAGAACAGTAGGGTATTAATAAATGTTTTTATATTTACCATACTATCTGTATGTGTTTCTCTTGACACATATCTATATGGTTGCTCAGCATGTGAATGCTACTTTCATGAAAGGTCCTCAATTCTTGTCAGCACCTCAGGGTGTGATGTTTTATGGTTTGAGGACAAGTCACTTCAATTCTTTGAGCTTTGGTTTCCCTATCTGTAAAATGATGTTATACCTTAACATCTAAGGTTATACCAACATTCTGAGGTTCTTTGACGTCTTAAATAGGCTTAGCCACCCACTTTCAAGGTTTTATTTACTTTCGTAATTCAGTGCTAGGGATTCAGTGTGTACTTTGGTGAGGGACGTGCATCGTATTTAAGACTTTTAGAGCTTCATGACTGAAATCTTTCTTTGGTGTTCTACAGTCCACAAGGGGGCACCTACTTTCTAGCAAGTTGAACATCTGAGCCTTGGCTTCACAGAAATCATCTCTTAAATTTCGGGGAAATTTCAGTTAGCACAGAATTATAATTTAAACTGCGCCTGTAACCTATTGAGATATTTCAAAAAATAATTGTTAGTACAGATTGATTTCAATTTTAAGAAAAAGTATCTCCACAAATAGGTTGAATGTGTGATTTTACCCATGATATTGGGGTTCTGGAATATATGAAATTCATATGAAGTTGGACTTGAAGTTCTATTCAAAACTATAGAGAATCCCCCATTCCTTAGCCATGTTCCTACTTAATGGCTGTGTTTCCCATTTAATTCTGCTTAATCTACCCCAGAGGGTTTTATGGAGATTAATTTAGCATATATGAAAATGACTACCTGAATGTATTGTTAAAGGCAGGAGTTTATTGCTGAAAAATCAGGATTCAGGATGTGTGTTAATTATCTTAACTATAATCAGATATCTCTAGAAGAAAAAGGTAAAATGAAATAATAACAAATCCAATTTTTCTGAAATGTATTTATTTGAAATCCCCATCAAATAGAAGAAAGGTACCCACATAAACAGCATGTCTGTACTTAGCAACATCATATTTTTTATGTTACATGGTGGCTTTACCAAAATAAGGATACTGAGTCAAACACTTTCATTATAAAAATGATTCTGGGCACAATTCTTCACAAAAACAACAAAATATTTTGGAGAGCAAATAAGCAGTTTTGGGGGAAGATTCTTCTAACAGTTGAGTGAAGTTGATTCAAAAGTGCACGGTTATGGGCCCCAGGTAAATTATAGGGCAGTTTGGTGGTGGAGGTGTGGGGATGATGAAGGGGTGGGGCGCAGTGGGTAGGGACAAGGGAGGGGAAGGGGGGCGGGGAGACCAACTGGAAGGAGTCTGAACAGGGCAAACAAACTAATCAAAGGGACATTGTCAGGCCAGAAGACATGAGGTCAGCACTTCCCACACCAGAGGGCAGCGGCCAAGCCAAGTGGACTCAAAGAAGACTCAGAAAGTCCCATCAAAGACACAGCAGTCACCCAGAAGGATGGTCAAGGCATCGGGAGAAGATGTGAGAGATGATGTCCACAGGACTCCTTAGGAGGTGGTACAATTAGTTGAAAAACATGGGCTTTTTCAATTTGGGTTTGAGTGACCTTGAGAACAAAGATTAACATCTCCCAGCCTCAGTTTCTTCAACTGTAAGATGAGGATAAATAATACCCACCTCTCAGTGTTGTAAGGATTTCATAAATTAATACATAGAAAGCCACCCATGGTAAGTACTACAAAGACATCACCATTATCATGGCTCTCCTCTCTTTCTCTTCATCAGCATTTGCATCTTTATCATTATCCCCACGGATTGTTTCCCTTCTAAGGTCTGATGAGGAAAGTTCTTAAGTGTCCTGTGGGCCTTCCCACACATGAAAGCTAAATTGAACAAAACTCTAATAAATTTTAACATACACCTTCCCTGTGACCAAGCAATTCCATTCCTGGGTATTTACCAAAGAGAAATGAAAATGTGTGTAAATAAAAAGTCATGCACCCAATGTTCACTGCAATTTTTTATTGTAGTAAAAACATTTGACATCAGAGCTATGGTTTTAGCAAAATTTTAAGCGTAAAAAATAAGTATTGGTAACCACAGGCACAATGTCATACAGAAGATCTCTAGAACTTATTCATCATGCATAACTGCAACTCTTTTCCCATTAAATAACAACTCCCAATTTCCTCCTCTCTCCTGACCCTGGCAACCACCATTCTATGCTCTGCTTCTATGAGTTTGGCTAGTTTGGATACCTCATATAAGTGGAATCATGCAGTATTTGTCCTTTTGTGATGGTTTATTTTATTTAGCATAGTGTCCTCCAGATTCAGCCATGTTGTCCCATATCGCAGGATCTCCTTCCTTTGTAAGGCTTAATAATATTCCCTTGTGTGTATACACCACATCTTCTTTATCCATTCACCTGTCAATGGACATGCAGGTTATTTCGATATCGTGGCTGTTGTGAATAATGTTTTACTGCAGTTTAATTATAATGACCTCAAACTTTAAGCCACTCAAATGGCCACCAAGTGGTGAATTAATAAATAAATTACTCTATATTTACCCAGGGAACAAACTACCGACACAATCAATAACACAGATGAATCTCAAATACATCATGCTGAATGAAAGAAGCCAGACACAAAATAAGGCATTCTAATGATTTTACTATATGAAGTTGAATACGCCAAACTACTTTATGGTGATAGGTATCAGGACAGAGGTTGGTGGGGACAGGACCAGGGTGGTACAGACAGACTGGGAGCGGGCTTGGGGAAACTGTCTTGGGCAGTGGGAATGTTCTAATCCTGTTTATGGTGTAGTTTTCACAGGTACACACATTACACTGTCCACTTAAGCTTTGTGCATTTGACTTATGTAAATTATACCTCAATAACCTTGCAGTGCTCTGGAAAAATAAGAAAACCAGACAAACAAGTCCATGATATTTAGCCAAGAAGCTCTCGCAAAGCTAAGCTGAGCGACCAAGATATAGTGAAGGCAGCACGTGCAGAGCTAGCTTTCCTGGCAAACAGACAGAAGCATATAGTGATGAATAAAGCAAGAGCAACTTTCCAGAAGAGTGAGCACATCCACAGCCATTCAGAAAAATAATCAGCTGACAGAGGCCACCCCAGCAAAAGGATATCCTCTGTGAAAGCTGAATTGTCATCAAGCATAATCAAGGTCTGTGAAAAGGGTTGATGGGGCACATCCTGAGCATTTGTCTATTTTCTATTAATGTGTCTATCACTTTCCCACCAGGTCCTCTGCTCTCCCTACAAAGTACATCCCTAATCCGGCTGCTTCTCATGGACTTCGCTACAGCCCAAGCCACCGTCATCTCTAGCTTGATTATGGCAATAAGCTCAAGTGACTGGTGTCCTTGCTTCCACCCTTGACCTCTACAACCTATCCTCAGCACAGTAGCCAGAGAGATGTACCCAAAACTCCGCAATAGTTTTCCGTGATCCTTAAAATGAAATGCCCAATTTTCACTGTGGTCCCCAAGGTTCACATGAACCTGCTGCTGTCCACCTCTCCAACCTCAGCACCTCCCCTGAGGCACCCCCTACTGGCTTCCTACTCCGGCCATAGCGGCTTCTTACCCTAGCTCAGATGTTCTGGACTGGCCCTGGATACTTATTATTCCCTCCACCTGGAAGGGCCCACCAACACAGCTTCTTGCTTTTACTTCATTTAAGTCACTATTCAAATGGCCTCTCCTTGGAGATAACTTCCCTGACTCCCCTTTATAAAATGGCACCACTTTTCTTATGAACCCGGATGATGGTTAATTTTATGTGTCAATTTGACTGGGCCACAACGTGCCCAGGTATTTGGTAAAACATTATTCTGGGTCTTTCTGTGAGGGTATTGTTGAATGAGATTAACATTTAAATTGATAGACTGAGTAAGCAGATTGCCTTCTATACTGTGGGTGGGCCTCATCCAATCAGTTGAAGGTCTGAATAGAAGAAAAGGCTGACTCTCCCCAAAGTAAGAGAGAATTCTCCTGCATGGTGGCCTTTTAACTGAGACATCCACTCATCCTGCTACTACAATAGCCTGCCACCTTTTGGACTTGAACTGGAACTTTGGCTCTGTAGATTTTGGATTTGCCAGCTTTCGTAATTGTGTTAGCTGATTCCTTATTACTTCTCTTCCTGCACCGCCAAAAACTGTTGCCTATCTGTATGTCTTCTTCAGAAGAATCCAGAGCTCTTAACCACATGGCTATGCTGCCTTCCAGTGGCATCTCTTGCTTGGGTTATTTCAGCACTTTCCTAGCCCTGCTCCTGTTCGTTTGCCATGTCACATCCAACCCTACCTAAAGCTCCTCAGAGGCTTCTCACTGCCTTCAGAACACCATCCAAGCATCACACCATGGCCAATTGTGACCTGGCTTTACACCCCCACCAAGGTCACCCCCCCATGGTCACCATGTCCCCTGGCCTTCCTTGCTCCTTCACACACATTATATTTCAGCCTTGTCAAACGTGCTTTGGTCCCTCAGACTCAACACATATCCTCTACGGCTGGCCTGCAGAGTTCTCGCCTGACTCTCCTGCTTGCCTCCAGCCTACCCTTTGGTTTTTCATTCACATGCCGCTTCCTCCAAGAGGCCTCCTCGGACTTCTCCAAACTACTTTATGAGCTCCAGATAAGCGTTCCCAGAGAGCTCTGGGCCTCCCCTGTCACAGACCATCACCTTCCTTGGTTTTAGTAGTTTAACTTCCTGCCTTCCTAGCTGGACAGGAACTAGTCTCTTTCACTTGCGTTAGGACAAACAACTAGCATGCATAATATACATTGTGAAGTGGTTGATTGAATTTATGAGTAATAGAGATACGATTATCTGCCCTTAAGAACCCACCTACCCATCTGTATGCAGTTTCTAGAAAAGGGAAATCTACAGAGAAAGAAAGCAGATTGGTGTTTGCCAGGGACTGGGAGTGGGAATGGGGAGTGCCTGCCTAAAGGGCAGGAGGAATTTCTGGTGTGATTGAAATGATTTCAAATTGGATTGGGATAATAGTTGCACAATTCTATAAGTTAACTAAAAATTGTTGAATGGTACACTTGAAATGAGAGCCATAGCCATGGCGTGTTAAGTTATACCTCAATAATTTTGTTTTTGTTTTAAGGAATGCATCCAGTGTCTGTTGGCTCTTTGCCAGCCAGCTCCAGAGATTTTTCTGATGGCGGGAAAGACACCCCAAAATCTTATGTAGCTTCACATTTTTATAAAAGCAATAATATCCAGACTTGACATTTCACGGTTTCCTACACCACTCTACCTTCTCCGTGGAAAGTTATTTTGTTACTTTAGATTCTTCAGGATTTGCACTCATCAAGTTTCCCGGCAACAGATAAGGAAGCCCAGAATCATGTAGCCATGAGCATTTCTATACTGAACATTAAAAAAGAAATCTTTGTAGATGAATTTTCTCCAAGACTAGCACGATGTGCACATGTGTTGGACGAGGCCAGAGAAATGTCCCGGTGGGAGCAGGCCAGAGATGGGAAAATGACTCAGACCGTAGAAGCTCTTTTCTCCAATTTCTGAACCCTTGGTGGAAAGTTGTTAAACAGTGATGTGATTGCAAGGGGATAGAAGTTCTCTGATTTCCCTTCTGCAAACGGAGCAAGAATTTGGAGCTCTTGAGCCCAACATGGGGGAGCCTGTGTGGGAACAGGCAGGCCTTAGGACCCCAGTCATATTCCAGGAGGAGCTCCTTCTTTGCCCTGGTCTGGTCAAATGAGATGGGACAAGGAATGACTTGCTGAGGGGCTGCTGCTATACCCCTGAAGGTGCCAAGTGCTAGGACAGCATGCCGCAGGGCCCAAACTGAAGAACCATGCTGCTTCTCAGGCCCAAGATCCCTGGACGGCTCAAAGCTGGCTGCCCCCAAAGTCTCTTGATCCTGTGGAATCTGGGACTGCCCGAGGATTGATGGCAGATCAGCAAAGCCAGCAGGGGAGAACACTCCACCATTCCAGCCTCCGGCTGTCTCTTACTGGGCATTTGCTCGTTTGCATGGGAATTATTGAGGATAACTGATTGCCATGGAGTTGGTTCATGTCATTTTATAAGGTGGAAGAAACAGGTCTCAGGAGAAAGAGCGATGAGAGATTACTGGACTGGAATACAGAAGATCTGAATGCAAGTTCTGGTTCTATGACTAATCAGCTTGTGACTTTGGGGAAATCACGTTTCCCCTCTGAGCATCTGCTTGTTCATCTGTTAAATGAGAGGCTAGATGAATTTTAAGGGTTTTTTTTTTACTCTGATAATAAGAATAGTACTAATTGTTATCTCCTAATCATATCCCTAATCAGAGGTGCCAGGTACATTTGCATTCAGTCCTAAGAGACAGGCATAATATTCACTGTTTGCAAATGATGAAAAGGACGATGAGGCTGGCTAACCGAATTGCTCAAGTTCAAAATGCTTGAAAACAGAATTACTTGGCCTTGCCCAAATGGGTCTTCTCTATACCAGGTCTGGAGACCCAACTACACAGCAGAATGCTGAGGCAATTGTTCCTTATTTCCTGGGCTCAGGGGCACCATCGACATTTCCAAAGGCCACTCGCTGCTATAGAAAAGCCTCTAGATTCCCTCCCCCCAACATTGTATTTAGAAAACTTTTAAGCATAAGAAAAAACACCCTTATACTTGTTTTCTCCTAGCTCTCACTGCTTACTTTGCCACACATCGAGCCACCTAGCCTCTATCCCTCTCTTTTTCCATGGATCGATCTTATTTTTTATGGAAGCCTTTGATTTTGATTAATTTTGAGAAAGTCTTCTCCCATCAAATTTTCTCAGTCTTTTCTCCTGGCAACATACCGTTCAGTCATTACAAGAGCCAATGCAGCAGGCAGGATCCCGCCCTACGGATGAACAATCGGGCTCACGAAGGTAAGCCCCCGGCTCAGAGTCACTTCGCTGAGAAGCACTGGTCCATCTCTCTCAGGCTGAAGCTTAAGACTTTAAGCCTTATGTTCTCATGCCCTCTTACATGGCACTTTTCCAAACATGGGCGTTATGCCTTCACTTTGACCAATCTTTGTTAATTTCCACTGGGGATGTTTTTCCGTAGGCAATTAACGTCTTTTATAGCCAAATGAAACAACAACAACAAAAAAACACCTCAGGGCTTATTCATTCTACTATGACTAGAACTTTTTTTTTTTTTTAAGATTTTGTTTATTTATTTGAGAGAGAGAGAGAGAGCGTGCGCATGAGCGGGGGGGGGGGGGGGGGCAGAGGCAGAGGGAGAAGCAGACTCCCTGCTGAGCAGAGAGCCCAACGCAGGATTAGATCCCAGGACCCCGGGATTAAGACCTGAGCCAAAGGCAGACGCTTAACCGACAGAGCCACCCAGGCGCCCCTGCTATGACCAGAACTTTAAATACAGTATCTTAAAAGAGAACATGTAAATTATGTGGCCCTTCTTCCATAGAGTTTAATATTTACAGTTTGATTTTGAGTATATGTTTACATGTGGAGTGTGTATTTGTGTGTATTCCATAACTTTACAAATCTGTGCCTCTGAACTCAGTTCACAACCTTGTCTGGGTTTTATTTATTTCTTTGTTTTGTTTTTATGTTCTTGAAATAGGAGGGGAAGAAGTTCCATCAGGTGCATACGTGTGAGTATCAGCACTCGTGTGATACGGGATTGCTCAGATGGCTCAGCGTGCCTCTCAAGACCCAGGCTTATTACCCTCAACCTGTCAACTTGGCTCAAACAAGTAAACAAATTCCCTTGCCAATCCGACTGAGCAGAAGGGCGTTGTTCACCAGAAATACCTTGGATGAACCAAGACCCAATCACTATTTGTATTTTAGGCTAGTCTTCCCCTCTGCTTTCATTTACATATGGGTGTGTCTGCAGTTATGGGAACCATCGTAATTCAAATCTTACCTTCGAAATGCTTAAGTGTTTTGTGCCATGAGTCCCTTTGGCCATCTGGTAAAGCATTGGACCTCTTCTAGAAAAAGGGTTTTTAAATTAAGAAAACAAAATGCAGAAGATAGTAAAGAAAACTAATTTTATTAAAATGCAATTATCAAAATGGATTCTTCCAGAAGTTACTATAATTTCCAACTAATGACGAGTGTTAATGTTATTTCAAGCTATCTGAAATATCATCTGGATATTTCATAATCTGAAATGTCATGATTTATAATATGATGTTAATATTGAATGAAAATTTATGAGATGTCTGTGTGCAGCAAAGTCATAGAAATTGTTAATATTTGAATTTTGTTACCCAAACTCACAGTTGAAGGAAATGCTAAATACCAGTCAGTATTAGTAAAAGTAAAGGTGGTTTTTTTCCTCCCCCAGAGAAGTTTACATATGTCTGAAATTCTATGCCATCACAGGAATGCTTAGTTTGGAAAGGACATTAGCAATTCTGTCTCAGGAGTTCTAAACCTAGATGGGTTTCACAATAATTTAGTGAATACCGAAGAAATAGAAATTCCTGGGACCTAACCATGACTTACTGAATTAGAGTCTCTGAAGTAAAATCCATGTATTTTTTATAAATCCCAAAGGTGATTCTGATGCCAATTAGGGAATTCACTGAACTCTTAATATTTCCAAAGAATTTCTCTAAAAATTTCTGATGTATATTGCCTTTCCCCCCCCTCAGCTCTTATGGACCTCCTGGTATTTTGAAAGTCTTTATCTCAGTGTATGAGTTAGGTAAACATTAATTCCTTCCTCCTCCAAAAAAAGTAAGGTATAATTTACATACAGGAACGTTTATATTTTTTAGTGTATCATATAATCACACAACTACAACAACTATCAAGATATGAAACAGTTACATGACCCTAAAAACTTACCTGTGCCTCTTTGGAGATAGCCTTCCCCTCTATCTCCAGTCCCTGGCAACAACTGGTGTTTTCTGTCCTAGTTGTGTCTTTTCCAGATTGTCCTATAAATGATTCAAACAGGCCTTTGAGTCTGGTCTTCTTACATTTAGCATAATGCATTTGGGATTCACGCATGTTGTTGTGTGTATCAGTCTGTCCCCTTTTACTACTAAGTAATACTTATTTCATGGTATTGATGGACCAAGTTTGTTTAGCCACGCACCAGTTAAGGACACTTAGATTGTTCCCATAATTTCTGGCAATTATGAATAAAACAGCTATGAATACTTACATACAGATTTTATATGAATATAAGTTTCATTCCACTTGGGTGCATTTCTAGGAGTGGAGTTGCTGAGTCATATGCTAAATATATATTTAACTATATAAGAAACTGCCAAAATATTTTCCCAAGTGGCTGTATCATTTTGCATACACACACGCACATGCACGTGCACACACACACACACACACGACAAACATGTTCATAACAAAATAAGGAGGAATACTCATGAGAGTAACTGATCACATGCTCATAGTTGGTATTTGTTACTACCTACTTACACTACCCATTCTGGATTTCCTTTGCCTTCAGCAACCACCTCAGCTAGTCATGGTTCTGATAACACAGAGAATAAAAGAGAGTAAGCATTGCTAAGAGGGTTATTTAAAATGGAGGATATTGAGGGGCACCTGGGTGGCTCAATCAGTTGAGTGTCGGTCTCTTGCTTTCGGCTCAGGTCATGATCTCAGGGGGGTGGAATCAAGCCCCATGTGGGTCTCTGCGCTTGGTGGGGAGTCTGCTTGGGGTTCTCTCTCTCCCTCTGCCCCTCCTCCCAAAATAAATAAATAAATCTTAAAAAAAATAAAATGGAGGATGCATGGCTTCTGTCTCAAATTCTCAGAATTGTTGAGAACTCGGCTAAAATTCAGTTTAGAGGGGTGCCTGGGTGGCTCAGTCGGTTAAGTGTCTGCCTTCGGCTCAGGTCATGATCTCAGGATCCTGGGATCAAGCTCCGCATCGGGCTCCCTGCTCAGCAGGAAGCCTGCTTCTCTCTTTCCCTCTGCTGCTCCCCCTTGCTTGTATGCTCACTCTTGCTCTCTGTCTGTCAAATAAGTAAATAAATAAGTAAATAACATCTTTAAAAAAGAATTCAGCTTACAGGTGAGGAATCTAGAAAAGTTGAGCAACCTGACCGTGATCTGCCACCTGAAGGTTAGGACTCCCTCTAACCCAGGCAGGCTTTCAGGACTATAGGAGTGTTAGCCCGGTGGCCTAGTGCAAGTCATGCAACCTCTCAGAATTGCAATTTGTGATGTCACTGGGGGATAGTAAGACCTGTCTTGCAGGGGCGTCATGAAGATTAGATACAAAACATGCTTAGTACAGAATCCACATTGCAGCAATTTCTTCATAGCGTCCACTTCCTGTTGTTCCCATTTACTATGCACAATCTCTTTCTCTTCCCAATGCCTCGGTGAGATGAACAATGAAAGGAGGAGTCAGCAAGGACAGCAGGAGGCCATGGGGGTATGGCCCCAGTAAAGGACCTTGAAAACACTTATCAGTTTGGTCCAGGTGTGTCTGGCCAATGGAAGACAGACTACGAGCCATGCCATGAAACTAGACAGGGCGTATTTATGGACTGGACAATGGAGAGCCTCATTTGACCCATACAGGGCATTATTCCTGGCCCGCTTTGGGATTCTTAGGAAAAAACTGAGCCTACTCCTACAGTAACATCATACCCATCACAAGGACTGCTACAGAGTGCCAATGGCAGCACTAGTCCATACATCTCATCTCGTCCCCACTGCAACCCCAGGAAGGAAGGATTATTTTGCCTGTTTCATAGAGGAGGATATAAACCTAAGCTCACTTGGCTCATAAGCCCATGATCATAAAATACTGTACTTATTAGAAAAGACTGCTGGAGACAAAAGGGGGAGAAACCAATTCAATAGGCTGTAAGCAAAAGAGGAAATATTATTATGAAAGCAGTGTTCAACAGATTTCCTGAGTACAGAACCAGAACTGGAAACTAGAAAGCTGTGCATGTGCATGCGTGTCCCCACGTCCCACTCCACCACACCCACCATCTTTTACCTCAGTCTTCTCTCTGTCTCTGTGGAGCACCTTCCAACACTTCCTCAGCCCTGTGTAGAATGAGCCACTCCATACTTCTAAGGTTATATGCTACTGGTCTATCCTCTCATGATTCCTTTTCAACTTACCAGGAGAAGAATATTTTAATCCCCCCCCTTTTTTTTTATTATCCAGGTGGGGATGTGAAATCTGAGAGAGGCCACAGAAATTCCTGAGTCCAGCTTACTCCTATGGGTAAGTCTTGTGTATCCTCAAAATGTGCTCACCCATCTCCATTTGGACACCTCCAGAGCAGCCAGTTTCATTGTGGGAGACCTGGCTGTTAAAATACCCACCTGTGTATACTGCTCCTGCCTCTATTAATTCTCCTCCAAGGAGCATACCAAGGCGGAGGGGGCAGGCCTGGGAGGCAGGCTCAGCCCCAAGTTTTCCCAGTTCCTCCACCTGCCCCAGGCCCTGGCCCTGGCCCATGAGCTCTGGTCATCAATGTTCCTCTGAAATGAGTGCCTAACCACACCAGGCGAGACTGCCACCCTCCATGTCCAATCTCTGGACAAGATTTCCCTGCTGTTTTTTTCAGCCCAGCACATGGCAGCTGGTGCTCAAGGGGACATATTATTCCAGAGGAAGACCTGCTGTGGGTAGCTCAGGGGCCAGAGGCAATGATGAGGACAGAGGTGGGAGTGGAGACCCCTCTGCTCTTGAGGATGCACAGGGAGGTAGCGGCCCACAGGAGGGCCCAGCCAAGAGGGGAAGTGCAGAACCCAGTCCCACCCCCACCTCCCCACCCCCAGCCCAGCTCAGTCACAGGCCCTGTCTACGCCTTTCTGAGGATGTGGCCAGTGCCGAGGGTGGAGGGGAAATTGTGGAGAGGGGACTCTTTGATGTGGCTGAGGAGAATGAGGGCCCAGTGAGGGAGGGGCTCATCGGTGGAGGGTGGGGGGACCCCTGAGAAGACTGGGTCTCAGGATGAGGGGGGAAACTACAGGCCTTTCTCTTTCCCAACTCGGGGGTGCTCAGTGTTGCAGCCTGGGCCTTTTCCCACTCCACCCCCACCCCGCCTCCCTACCTACAATCCTCTGCATGGGCTGTGGCTAGCAGTAGGGGGAAATGTGAACTCTGAGAGAGGATGGACTCTGCAGATGTCGAGGGCACCGGGGGGCAGGTCAGGACAGAGTTGGAGACCCCCCTGTACCCAGAGCTTAGTCTCAGATGCCAGAACCAGCTGGCTCCCAGGAAAAGAATCCGACTGGTCCAGCTTGAGTGAGGTGTCTTCCGAAGTTCATACGCCGGTAGAGGACCAATAGGAGCACGGCAAGCCGGAACCCCCTCTGGGAACTGCTGAGCACAGAGAAAGGGGATTGATGCTCAGGATGGATACAAACTAGAAAAGGTATCCTCCACAGCTGTACTACTTTCCTAGCAGAGGTTCAAGCATTTATTCATTTCAGAGAATTCAAACCAAGCGTGGCCTGTATTAACATAAGCATTAATTGAGGAATGTGTAATGAAGATGTTAGGTGCCCAAAGACATTGATTTAGGTAGAAAAACTAGTAAACCTGGCGTGTGGAGTAACCAGTTGGAGTGCACCAAGCCAGCTGCCTGGTGGAGACCCTAAATATTTTCTGGTTTCTACAGCAGGGCTGTCTGATAGGCCAAAAAACAAACAAACAAATAAACAAAGCAAGCCACCCATGTAATTTTAAACATTCTAGCAGCCACATATTTTAAAAAGTGGAGAGAAAGAGGGTAAAATTCATGTGAGTGATACATTTTATTTAACCCAATATCCAAAATATGATCATTTCGACCCGTAATCGATAATATTGTGAATGAGCTGTTTTACATTTTTTGTCCTAAGTATTCAAAATCGGGTACATATTTCACATGTAGAGCACATGTTGGATGCGACATTTTCACTGGAAATACCTGATCTGTATTTAGATTTCCTAACATGTACGCTGAACAAGTAGGGCCGTAATCACATGTTCCAGTTTTTATGCTACCTCTCATTCGTTATGTGGGATGGAACTAATTCTCGTCGGCGTTCCCAGTTCTTGCTCACCGAGTTAGTCTATCGCCCAGATTGTTCTTCCTATGGAGAAGAGATCATTGGTAAAAATGACCAGGCTGGGATTGTGAACCCCACGAAGGAAAATCGTAGCTGGAACCTGGGAGCTACATTTGTTCATCTCTTTGCTTGGTTTATGTGACAACAAATCATTTTGTCGCAGATTAACTATACTGAGTATGTAGGAGATTTCTGAGATTTTGTTACTTTTTTCTTTTCATTGAAACCATCAAGTTTCCTTAGGGACAGCGCTTTCGTTGCCCCCCTGACATTCTCTAATGGCACATAGCAGGCCAGGGGATGCTGACGGGCAAATGACTGGTGATCACATACAAGCAGCGAATGCTCGGCCCTTTCTGGCACTTCCTGTGGATAGCGCGTATCAGCAGGGAGGAAACAGCTCGGTTAGAGAACACCCAGCAAGGTTTCAGACCGAATGCCAGGTCCTAAGCTACCGGTAGTTAAGGCGTCTGGGTAATGGTCATAAGTAAAATCACGTAAGGACAGCACAGGTCTCACAACTTCTACTCTGGTCCAGGGACCGTCCCCCGCAGCAGATATGCGTGCTAGAGCCGTCGAGGATGCTCTCCTTCTCACGCTCTTCTCTCCTTCGGATGGCCCGGCCTGGTGGGGCCTCGGATTGTCTTATTCTTTTTCTTATTAGTGTTTTGATTCGAGGAAGGGAGAGACAGCTCCAGCTCCCTTTTCTTGGCCTCCCAGTCTTCGTCCTGCTGGTCCAGAGGCAGCCCCTTCTGCCTGGCGGTGCGCCGGTGGTCCCGGCACTCGGGCTCAGCCCTGGAGAAAGGAACACGGCGGCCCTCAGCCCCCCGCTGGCCGGGAGAACCTGTCCTGGCTGCAGCATGGGCCCCTCTTCCGGCCCTCTGCACACAGCCTGGCCACGCCAGCAGTCCAGGGGAGAAGGAAGAAGGTCGAGTTCGAGCATCTCCCAGGGCACCTTTAGGGATGCCTTAGACACTAAAGAAATGACTGGGAGATGGAGAAAACTGGCAAGCCCCTGAGTGGGAAGTTCTAGAGCTACCAGCATCTTAGTAGGTGGAGGTTTTCCTTCATTTCTTTTCCAATTGTATTTTTTCCTAAATATAAGACCATGTCTGTCCATTGTGTAAGATTTTAAAGTATGGAAACATGTACAAAAGAAATAAAAAATACTCATAATCACATATGTATGGTATGTATAGATGGATTTATGAAAAGAATAGCTAGGTGATATATAGACAGATGACAGATACAGAACAATAGAATAGATAATAGAGAAATAAGTGAATAAACCATTATATACACATGGACAAGGGGAAGCATATGAAAGTATCATCTGAAGTAAAGTGCAAAGCATTACAAAAATCACGATTCAATCAGAAGACAGCAAACCTGTTTGCCCCTCAGCCCGCATCCCCCCAACAAGCTAGAAGTGACCATTCCATATTTAGACCACATGGTACCCCTCCTCTGCCCTGTTCTTTTGACCTTTTCCACGTTCTAGCTGTATTAGTGCTATTTATGTAAACAAGTACCTCCTCTCTCAGGGAACTTCATGTCCAGCACTGTCTCTGAGTCATCTTTAAATCCCTTTTAACATCTAGTTCAAAGCCATGGGCATGGTAGGGCTCAAAAATATTTGTGAATGAGAGATTTACTCAGAAAATTGTCAAGTACTATCTAGGTTTCTTCTGAAATTCTCTTATATCCTTTCTCTTCATTATCCTAGCCCGGGAGCCCACCTGCTTGCAACAGGGGGTGTTAAGAAATTCCTCAGTGATCCCCCATCCCTCCACTATCTCTGCACGTCCTCACACATACACACAACCTATGCACATTTCCAACTTGATGCCTTCACTCCAAATCAAGAATCTTTCTCCCTCCTTCATTAGTCAGATCTTAGCTGTCTTTCAAGGTCCAGATTAATTTCCCCTTAATCAGGATTCCTTCTCTCTGAACCGTCTTAACTGTCAAAAGGGAAGTTCCTCGTGGAAGATGATGATAACTAGAAATGACTTACACGTGATGTGGCTGACCTTTGTTGTTTTGTCAGCTCAGCTCTGCTTGCCCATTTTTCCTGGTAATGGCACCCCCCCCCCACTCTTTGGAGAACCTCTCCTCTTCCATTTCAGTTATGCTGAGATCATGTATCACACTCATCCACCCACTAGTGGGGAGGGGCTGAGATTTTTGCAGAGAGAGTCTCCTCTTCCATTTCAGTTATGCTGAGATCATGTATCACACTCATCCACCCACTAGTCACTGGGGAGGGGCTGAGATTTTTGCAGAGAGAGTCAGCAGAGGAAAGCCAAGGACAGGATCCCCAGGAATTTCAGCCTCTAAAAGTCATGCAAGAATAGGAGCTCAAGAAAATCATGAGAAGAAATGATCAGATAGGTAAAAGGAGAAATAGGAGAGAATAGCACCAGAGAAGAGAAAACGTTATCCAAAGAGACACGCCAAAAGAGAAGAGTAATCAGATATCAAATTAAGTGGAGGTAAGACGTGAGTTGAGAAGAGGCCATTGATTTCGCAACAAGGATCTCCCTGGATGAGCACTGATTCAGTACAAAATGGAAAAGAAGTGCAAAGGTGGATGAGGAAGACACCCACATAGATTAACATTAAATTACATAGATTAACATTTAAGTAGCATGGAAATGCAGGAAGAGTTCGAGCCCCATGTAGGGCTCCATGCTCAGCGTGGAGTCTCCTTAAGATTCTTTCCCTCTCCTTCTCCCTCTGCCCCCCCCCTCAAATAAAGAAATAAATCTTTAAAAAAAGAAGGAAAGAAATGCAGGAAGAAGAAAGAAACAGCAGACAGTAAAAGGACCTCTAAATGTTTGTGTGTTTGTTCAATAAGATCTATTTGAACATGTTCACAGGTCAGATAGGACTGAGGGGGGGAAGAAATAGAAAAAAGCTAAAAATACAGGAGAATAAAAGATGCAACAAAGAACACAGGAATGATGACATTGTAGGAGATATAAAGGTTTAGGTCGGGGTCTATATGGAGGGACAACATGTAGGAGGAGGTTTAAACATGTAAACCCTTGGCTTCAATATTTTCTATGCAGTAGAAAGCCTACTTTCTGAGGGACAGGCTGAGGTATGACAGGGATGTGAGCTGTCAATGAAGGAGCAGGACAGGGAGACAGATTGCCAAACTGTTCTGAGGGCTCAGCTGAAGATAGAAATCCCAGAACTTCTGGTGGTGCCCATGAACTTATTCCTGGGTTTTTTCTCTCCCAGACCAAGCACAGGAGTGAAGATGGAGACTGATACAAGGGTGGGAATTCTGGGTCACATGGTACAGGAGGACAAAAGGTTGGAAATTTAAGAATCATGCGAACAGAGAGGAAGAAGTAGTATATCATGGTGTCCAAATGGCAGACAGATGGAAGATCATGAAACCTTCAGGCTGATGATCAATCAGGAGAGAAAGAAGCAGTTGAATGAGAAGAGGTCTTGATGCACACAAATACCTGTGTGATGATCCAGGAACTGGCAAAATGAAGAAAGGGAGCTATGGTCACAGAGTGATATAGAGTTTTTAAACGTTCAGAGAACAATGTTGCAGATGCTGAGGTCCACAATGGATGGAGGTCACTGAATGTAGGAGATGACGCAGGAATGGAGAGAAGAGTCTTTGAGTCAGGACTCAAGGTTCTGCTTTTACCCCCCAAATCAATTTGATTATGATTTTGAACATTTTTTTAAAGATTTTATTTATTTATTTGACAGAGAGAGAGAGCACAAGCAGGGGGAGCGGCAAGCAGAAGGAGAGAGAGAAGCAGGCTCCCCGCTGAGCAGAGAGCCCAATGCGGGGCTCGATTCCAGGACCCTGGGACCACGACCTGAGCCGAAGCCAGATGATTAACTGACTGAGCCACCCAGGCGCCCCTGATTTTGAATACCACTGTTAAGAGAAAGTCTCTTGGGTTACTTCTACAGATATCTAATCACATCGTAAGCAACTCTAGTTTAACTTCTGGAAGATAACTTCATTTGCACGTTCTTAGAAGGGCATTATACAGTCATTCCCCCTTCCCACTGTGAACCGCCCTATAGATAGATTTTCTATGGATCTCATTTTGGTTTTCAAGCAACGCTGCCCTCATTCACTTACTTTACTGCCTCTTATACGAATTACTTATTAACTCAACCAGATTATAAATTCCCCAATTTTATTTCCATCCCTCCCAAAGCTGTACCTGTCAAGTACATAATTGATACGTAATTCTATTTGAATGCAGTGGGTGAGAGAAAAAAATTAACAAGTGCTAGAAAAGTCTTTGGTGAGTGTGTGAGTAGAAGATTCATAGATGAATAGAAGTTTTTAAAGGTAGAAGGGCCCTTACAGCTGATAGCCTAATTCACCAGCTTCCTTTTTAATATGAGAAACCTGAGGGTCAGCAAGGTGGCTTAACTTGCCCAAGGTCACACAGCTGGTTGGAATACCTTTCAGGGATCTGAAGGGGCTCCACGAATCTTCTACCATGACCCATTTTCAAATTTGGTGTCCCACCTCTCTTATCTGAGATAATTGTTCTATCGTCTAAAACAATAATTATAATAATTAAATATTGTTAAAATTATTATAAATATGTATCATTATAATAATTATAACTTTGGTATAATAGAAAAACAGTAGATTTCACATAATCTAAAACAATATAGTTTCCACCCAAACTAGTCATTTCAGGGAAAAGAAATAAAAACAACAGAAATGACAGTCAGCTGAATTTGCTCGTTTCATTTTCATGGACCTCAGACAACTGAGTCGGCAAAGACCTTGACCCCAGGCTCCTGTTTCTCTACCATTTCTCTAACTGGAAATAAATGAAACTTACTTATCCAGGAACGCCACACAGGCGGTCTGCCCGTAGATCTGTGCGATCCTCTTTGGTGTGTCTCCAAAGAAGTCGGGGGCATCGATGGCGGCGTGCAATGCATGGAGAACTTTGAGCACATTCACATGGCCTGACTCGGCTGCAAAATGAGCTGGAGTCCAGCCCACATCAGTTACCAGGCAGGGCCTGGCTCCATATTCTAGAAGGAGCTGCATCACCTCCATGTGCCCTTAGATGTACCAGGAAGAAACAGGAGGAGGTTAAGATTAAAATGTCTCTGCCTGACTAGGGCCAGACGTAGCCTGGATAGTGTAAAAGAAGGGATGACACTTGCTTTGAGGCCCTTCCTGGTTTCCTAGCATCATCCTCTCCTCCGTCTCCGTCTCTTACCTGGGACTCAGAGCCCCACCGTTACCTCAGGAACCTTGCTCCCACCAGAGTCCTGGGCTCTGCATGTATTCCATCTACTCCCTCCAGGATCCTCCCTTCCCCTGTTCATTCCCACAGGCCCTTCCTAGGAATCTTGCTTCCCCTCCCAAGTCACCTCTGCATGCCTATGTGGGCACTGGTAAGGCTCACTCCTTTTGGCAGCCTCAGTGGTGATTCAAAAGCAAGTATTTTGCAACAACATGGATGGAACTTGAGGGCGTTATGCTAAGTGAAGTAAGTCAGAGAAAAAGAAATATCATAGGATCTCTCTTATATGTAGAATCTAAAAAAACAAAAAGACACCAAGGTCAGAGGTACAGTGAAGAAACTGGTGGTTGCCAGAGGCAGGGGCTGAGGGGTTGGAGAAATGGGTAAAGGGGGTTAAAGGGTACAAACATCGGTTATAAAATAAGTAAGTCCTGGAAATGTAATGTACAGCATGGTGACTATCGTTAATAATACTGTTTTGCATATTTGGTAGTTGTTAAGAGAATAGATCTTAAAAGTTATTGCACGAAAACTTTTTGTAAAAAAAAAAAAACTTTTGTAACTATATGTGGTGATGGATTTTAACTTCACTTACTGTGGTGGTCATTTCATAATATCTACAAAAATTTCATTACGTTGTATACCTGAAAGTGATATAATGATGTATCTCAATTATACCTCAATAAAAAATATTTTAAGTCTCACCTACTTTATAGTTAGCCAGATTCAAAGCACAAGCTTTCCATCCACAAGATGTGGGCTCATACCTGCTGGTAAGTAACACTTGCTAACTGTGGAATAGCAGACAGGAAACAAAGGTCTGAGGCCCAGTTTCCTCATTTGTAAGTGAAAAACGTTATTACAGGCGCCTGGGTGGCTCAGTTGGTTAAGCGACTGCCTTCGGCTCAGGTCATGATCCTGGAGTCCCGGGATCGAGTCCCGCATCGGGCTCCCTGCTCGGCGGGGAGTCTGCTTCTCCCTCTGATCCTTCCCCTCTCATGCTTTCTGTCTCCCATTCTCTCTCAGATAAATAAATAAAATCTTTTAAAAAAATAAATAAAATCTTAAAAAAAAAAAAAAGAAAAACGTTATTACTTACCTCACCGAGTTCTTGTGAAGTACAAATGAAATCACGGACATAATGCATACAGCATGATGCCCAGCGTACAGCAAACGTTCACTCAAAGGGGCTTCAGTACAGTTACCATCACTTTGTACCCAAATTTCTGCAAAACTCTCCCAGCTGATTTCTCTGCGGCTGGCCTTGCTTCCAGCCAATGCATTCTCCATACAGAAATCCAAACAGTTTTTTTTTAAAAGCAAGTTGACTATAATACTCTCTTCCTTAACATTCTTCAATGGCGTTCTATTGCTGAAGGCCTTGACAAGCCCAATGGCTGAGTTTTTGCCACTATCCTCCTCCAAGTTCGTAACTGAGCCATGTGAGGGGTGGGGGATACAGCAGTGAACATGACAGAGTCCCTGTCCTACCTTTCCTGTTGGAGGTCAAGAGGGCAGAGCACTAATATTAATTGAGAGCAAACTATGTGCTAGGCATGTACACCCATTATCTTAGCGAATCCTCACCGCAAGACTCCAAGATAATGACAGTTCCCACTGTGTAGGTGAATAAATTAAGGCCTAGAGACATTAAATAACTTGCTTAAAGTGCTACAACCAGTAAGTGGTGTTGCCAGGGTCGACATGTTCCATTTGGCTCTCAAGAAATGTTCTTTCCACTACCGCACACAGACTACTGACTGGTAACTTCATGAAAGGTGGACTCAAAGGGATGGATTTTACCCAGGCACTGCCCACTCACCTTTGATTGCAGCCCAGTGAAGTGGGGTTCGGTCATTCCAGTCCACATCCTTGTAGTTTGGGTCACAGAGACCTTTTTTCAAAATCTTTCTCACTAAATTGTAGTCTCCTGCAGCCACAGCTTGGTGGAGCTTTGTCATGTCCGACATTTTGGTCAATTCCATGACCAAAAAAAAAAAAAAACCTATGGGAAAAACATACTGCTTAGGAAATTCTCTACAATTCTTTATTCCATAGGAATAAAGTGATTCCATAGGATTCTTTATCATTTACTTTCTTTCTTACCTCACAAATTCGCATGTGTGTGTTCTGTTGAGGGTGTATTTGGATTTCAGCCACTGAGATTAGTATATGCCAGTCCCCTACTGAAGAACTATCAATGGCTCCCCTCTGCCCCCAGGAATATAGGATGAACTCTTGGTTTGGGGTTTTCTATTTGGCCTCAAACCACTTATCAGTGTTATTCCCTACTCCTATTCCAAACTGTGTGATTCTGAATTAGTTGTGCAATTCTGTGCCTTACCTTTCTCATCTATGGCATGGATATAATTTGTCAGAGTTGCTGTGAGGATACAGGGACAATCCATGTGAAAAATTTACTGACTGGACACAGAGCAGGCACTCCATAGAAATTTAATACTATTGGCACACCAATTCAGATGGACAAGACGTAAACATGCAAATAAAATGCTTACAAATTTTTTACAGCATTAAGACATAAACTGACAATTCTTAAACTATAGTCTACAGATGCTTAGGAATCCTGACTCTTTCCGGGAATCCATGAGATCAAAACTATTTTCATTATCATATTAAAATGTCACTGGCCTTGTTCACTGTGCTGACATTTGCCCTCATGGTTCAAAAGCAACAATGTAGAAAGCAGCTGGTACCTTAGCACAAAACAAGGCAGTGGCAGTGGCACCGAACTAGATTAGCAGTCATGGTATTCTTCACCAGCACACACAGAGTCAAAAAAAAAAAAAAAGGAAAAAAAAGAAGCTAGTTTCAATAAGGAAACTAAAGTAGTAAGAGTTCTTTTTATAAATGTTGACCTTTGACTACATGACTTCGTAAAAAATGATTTTAAAATACTGTATAACAAAATGTGTCAACATTTGGAAAGTCTGCATAACTCCGTGAACAAAGGACAAGCGGATGATGTTACAAAATCATGCATGGGTAAAGAGACTCATTCAAGATAAGACAATGGATTTTAGTGAGACACAGTATGAAAAGTACGAGATTGTTTTAGATTCCAACTTACTTGTAAAGCACTACCACGTGTCCAGTTTTGGTGTAGTATTAAAGACAAATATCCACAGTTATCTGAAAAGGTTATAAAATACTCCTCCCTTTTCCAATTTTATATATGTGTGGAACCAGATTTTCTTTCTATATTTCTTTTTTTTTAAAGATTTTATTTATTTATTTGACAGAGAGAGAGAGAAAGAATAAGCAGGGGGAGCCCCAGGCAGAGGGAGAGGGAGAAGCAGGCTCCCCGCTGAGCAGGGAGCGCAACATGGGGCTCCATCCAGAACCCTGGGATCATGACCTGAGTCGAAGGCAGATGCTTAAAAGACTGAGCCACCTAGGTGCCCCTTCCTTCTATATTTCAACCAAAACAACAAACTGAATGCAGAATAGCTAAGAATACATCTGTCTTCTATTAAGTCACATAGCAAAGAGATTCAACTACATAAAAAATAAATAAATAAATAAATAAATAAATAAATAAATAAATAAGCTGTTCTCACTTCTTTTGCTTTAGAAAATATCATTTTTCATAAAAATATCATTCATCTTATTGTATATTAGGCTTACTATGATTTTGTAAATGATTTAATAAACATTTAAATTTTTTCTAATAAGGTTAATATTGATAGCTATAATCCATATAAACAAAAGCTTTCTGGGGTTCTCAGGAATTTTTAAGAGTGTAAAGGAGTCCTGAGACCAACAAGTTTGAGAATTACTGATATAAACAAATAAAGGGCTGGGACAGAAGAAAAGAATGAGGAGAGAGCCACTTGAGGTGGGGCTAGCAGGAATGTCTCTTTGATCTCAACATTTAAGTTGAGATCTCAAGAAGAGTTTGGAATCAGCCAGACACACTGTGGCCCAGCAGCGGCATCACCTAGGAATTTATTAGAAATGTGAATTTCATAAGTCAAACAGAGAAAGACATGTATCATATGATCTCACTGATATGAGGAATTCTTAATCGCAGGAAACAAACTGAGTGTTGTTGGAGTGGGGGGTGGGGTGGGAGGGATGGGGTGACTGGGTGATAGACACTGGGGAGGGTATGTGCTCTGGTAAGTGCTGTGAGTTGTGCAAGACTGTTGACTCTCAGATCTGTACCTCTGAAACAATGCAATATATGTTAAGAAAAAAAAAAGAAGAAGAAGAAGGTAGCGGGAGGGGAAGAATGAAGCGGGGGAAATCGGAGGGGTAGACGAACCATGAGAGACGATGGACTCTGAAAAACAAACGGGGTTCTGGAGGGGAGGGGGGTGGGAGGATGGGTTAGCCTGGTGGTGGGTATTGAGGAGGGCACGTTCTGCATGGAGCACTGGGTGTTATGCACAAACAATGAATCATGGAACACTTCATCTAAAACTAATGATGTAATGTATGGGGATTAACATAAGAATAAAAAAAAAGGAAAAAAAAAAAGAAATGTGAATTTCATATCAGACCAACTAATGTACACTGAAATACGAGGACAGCCCTAGAATGGGAGAGAAGTACATAACACAATTAACATCCAATCTCCTAAGTGTTATGATGGTGGTGATTTTCTGGGGATAGAGGGAAAGGACCATTCCCCAGGACTGGGAAGTAAAGGCACTTTTTTCTGAAAGTGACCTAAGCTGGGTCCCGAAGGGATGAGTAAGAGTCATCTTGGGCCCTGGCAGTGATGGGAGATCCAACTCAGGCACAGTGCGTGTGTGGGGGAGGCACATTCTGCAAAGGGCAAGTGGCTCCAGCTTTGATATACAGACCAAGGAGCCACAAATGTTTCCTGTAAAGGGCTGGGTACAAAATTTTTTTAGCCTCCGTAGGCCAAGAGGCAAAAATCAAGACTATGATGTAACATTACATAACTATTATGTAACGAGAGAAAATCTCCAGCCAGAGATGGGCCATCCTGGGGGAGGAAGGGGTGGTGGCGGTGGGTGAACATGCTTTGTGCTCAGTAGCCCTCAGCTGGTGACAATCTCAGGGGGAAGAGCAACCAGCTTGAGGTGGGGGGAGGGGTCTGGCTGGTAGGAAGTTTACTTTCCTTCTATCCCAGGAATGCCCAGATCCCAGCATGCCCTCTCTCCTTTCCAAGAGCCCAACCATTTCAAGTTGAAAGCTGGTGGGAGTCAAGGTGACTTCATTGAACTAGTTCTATTGCTCAGTGCCCAGAAACTGCTGACAACAGAGTTCCCGAAGTGTAGGTGGTGACCAGCAGGGCCCTGGGCAGAGGCCAGGCACAGCTGTGGGCTCAGGAGACAGACTAGGAGCAGACTTGGGAGCAGCTGGCTTCCCAAAGCTCACAGGCTCGCCCACTAAGTGCTACCATCATAGGCGGTGACCACGGGCCCGAAAAAATGGAGTGAGCCACACTTGGCCTGTAGACCATAGTTTACCAACCTCTGGTCTATATAAAGTATCTGGGATGTAGGTAAAATGCAGATTCTGGTCTAAGATGAGGCCTGAGGTCCTGCATTTGTAGCAAGTCCCCACAACAACTACTAGTTCATAGACCACACTGAGTAGCCTTGGCTCGCTGGCTCTACGGGAGGGGGGAGACCTGAGGTAAGGGAGAGGCACTAAGGATGTAGCTGCTCTTCTTCCCTGATGGACTACATGAGAATTACTGGTGGGTTTTAAAAAAATAGAGGCCTGGGCCTCAGCCTGCAGTGCTTCAGGGATCATTAGCTGTATCAGACAAGAACATGCCTTTTTGCACGAAGCAAGCACCAGTCCATGCTAGGTAACAGAAGATGGCATAGGATACGCTTTAACTTTTTGGCTTATTTGTTTTAGTAGAAAACCCTTACACTGGAGCATTGGATCAATGATAACATAAAATAGTAAACAGAAGTACTAGAGGATTTCTAACCTGCAGCTATCACAAAAAGCCAAACCAGTTTTAGAATCAGTGTCATGAAACCCATGCTTGCCTTTTACACAAACCTTGAAGCGGGTTTATGCTTAAATCAACCCCATTTGTTTCACACTTGAGTTCACACCAAGAAAATCCCACAACTTCGCACAGATAAGCTGTAATTCAAGTAGAAGTTTCCAATGAACTGCTTAATGTATTTGCAGAGAAACCGATGAACTGATCTTAAAAATTCATATGGAAATAAACGCAAGGGACTCAGAAGAATCAAAACAACCTTGCAAAAGAATGAAGTAGGAGGACTCAAACTTCCTGATTTCTAAACTTACTTCAAAGCTACAGTAATCAACTTGTGATATGAATGAAGTACACTGTGTGGCATAAAGATAGATATATAGAGTGAAATGGGATAGAATTGAGAGTCCAGAAATAAATGTTTACATTTATGGTCGACTGGTTTTCAATAAAGGTGCCAGGAAAATTCAGTGAGGAATAAATAATCCTCCCAAATGGTACTGACACAATTAGATATTGCACACAAATGAAGTCAATCCTTTCCCTCACGTCATAGACAAAACTTAAGTTAAAATAGATTACAGATCTAGGGGCACCTGGGTGGCTCTGTTCGTTGAGCGTCCGACTCTTGGTTTCAGCTCAGGTCATGATCTCAGGGTCCTGGGATCGAGCCCTGCCTTGGGCTCCGCTCTCGGCGCAGTCTGCCTGTCCCACTCCCTCTGCTCCTTCCCTCTCTTGTGATCTCTCTCTCTCTCTCTGTCTCAAATAAATAAATAAATAAATTCTTTTAAAAAATGGATTACAGACCTAAATATAAGACCTTAAACTAAAATTCTTAGAAGAAAACACGGGAGTAAATCTTCATCACATTGAGTTAAGCAGTGGTTCGTAGATATAACAACAAAAGCATAAGCCACAAAAGAAAAAATAAATAAATAAGCTGGATTTCACCAAAATTAAAAAAAATTTTTTTAAAGATTTTATTTATTTTTTGACAGAGAGAGAGAGACAGCGAGAGAGGGAACACAAGCAGGGGGAGTGG